TAGCTGGGATTACAGGCACACGCCACCATGCCCAGCTAATTTTTTGTATTTTTAGTAGAGACGGGGTTTCACCATGTTGACCAGGATGGTCTCGATCTCTTGACCTCGTGATCCATCCGCCTCGGCCTCCCACAGTGCTGGGATTACAGGCTTGAGCCACTGCGCCCGGCCTAAGCATGACGAATTTCATAATGAGAGAGAGAAACAGAAAGTAGCCAATGAGAAGCTATGTTCCTTCTTTTTCCCAATTATTTTCTGTAGATTTTCCTGGAACTCTAAAAACAAATACCTACTGAGAACCTACCAAGTATCAGGCATTAGTTATGAGGGCTGAAAATATAAACATTAAACAGATGTGGCTTCTTTAAAAAATTGCAAATAATTTAGAATGGCTAAACGGAATATGTATATTGAGAAAGCAGAGTCCCAGAGAAGTTAAATAATTGGCCCCAGTTTGCTAACTCTTCACCTCTTCATATAACTGTGTAACAATTAATTTTTAGGATATGATGAGTAAAACCTAGTCAATACAAACCAGTATCACCATTTTTCTTTTCTGTTTGATTTTTTTCTGCACTTGTGCCACTCTGGATTTCATTAGAGAGGTAAGACTGAATTAAGTGTTACCCCATGCAAACAGTGTCTTAAATTTGATTTTAGCTCAGTTAATAAATGAAGGAGACAAAAAAGCGACAGCATCTATAGCATGGTTCGTTAGAATGATGAGGTTGTTAGCATTTTGGTTCCTCATCTTTCATTTTTCATCTGGGGCCAATATCATCTTGCCACACAGAGGCTTCTTTGTATCTTACTGTTTGATTATGCCCATGTTTATTTTACAGGCAACTGGTACCCATGAGGTGAGACCCCACGTGTGTGTGTGTTCATTTTTAAGGAGCTGCTGGTACAGCAGTGCACATTAATGAGCAGGTAAAAGCTACGTAGTAGCTCCAGTAGCAAGATGACAGTCAAATTCTAAGTGGTGATGTCTGAAGAGGAGTTTGGGAAGCGCAGACTCTGCCTTTCTCATGCACTCATACAAAAAGTCACCTGGGGAACACTAGATTCTAGGTACGTTGTTTAAAGAGGAAACAGGCTGGGCAGTGGCTCAGCCTGTAATCCCAGCACTTTGGGAGACAGAGGCGGGCAGAGCATTTGAGGTCAGGAGCTCGAAATCAGCCTGGCCAACATGGTGAAGCCCTGTCTCCACTAAAAATACAAAAATTATCTGCACATGGTGGCTTGTGCCTGTAATCCCAGCTACTCAGAAGGCTGAGGCAGGAGAACTGCTTGAACCCAGGAGATGCAGGATGCAGTGAGCCAAGATTGCACCACTGAACTCCAGCCAGTGTGAGACTCCATCTAAAAAAAAAAGAAAAAAATGTGTTTAGCAGGCCATGAAATTGTTGCAAATAAATTCCAGGTTAATATTTTCAATTTTAAATGCAGCCAAAACTAATCACCTTAGGATGCTTTCTTCTACTTCATACCTCAATCTTTGAGTGAAATGTGTATCTTCGCCCCTACAAATGAAGAGAACTGGGGATTCTCCCTGTTTTAAACTTCTAGAGACTTTTTTGCCTGCTGTGAAAAAATGAGCATGATTGAAAACAGTCATTATTTAGTTAATATTTTATTGTTTATTCAAGCTCTTCTTTCATTTATAGGTAACAAATATTTGTGTGTAAATTAAACAGGAATATTATTGTTTTAAGTCAGACTATTCATATTTTAAGTGACCTAAAAGCCTTTAAGATCAAGAACTTGTAAAGTTACCTCCATGTCTGTTTCTAGAAACTTCCTCATCCTATTTCTTTTCTATACAATTAAAAAAGATAAGTATTTATTTAATGCTTACTGCTTGCTAGGTAAAACGGAAGAAGGAAAGGGAGGAGGGAAGGAAAGAAGAGGATGGGGCAGCACAGGAGCAGGTTACAGCACACATTCTGGTGCCAGGCTGCCATTGTCTAAACTCCAGCTCTGCCACCTTCGAGCCATATGACCCTGGACATGTTCCTCGATTTCTCTGTGTCTTAGTGTCCTCAAATATAAAATTGATATAACAAGAACATTAATAACTTCATAGAGTTTTTTGAGGAATAAATAAATAAATACTTGCAAAGCACTAGAACAGTGCCTGGGCATACAGTAAACGCTATCTAGGCATTTGATAAATAAAGTCATCATGATCACAGTGTTAACAGTCAACATTTGCTGAGCCCATATTCTGTGCCAGGCACCGTGCTAAACAATTTGTATAGATTAACTCCTTTAGCCCTTACAACAGTCCTATGAAGTTAGTATTATCATTATCTCCGTTTTATAGATGTAGGAGCTGAGAATTAAGGCAACCAGGTACCTAGTTTTAAGATCATAGATGTAAGTGATTAGAAGCAATTTGGAATCTACGGACCCTGAGTATAAAGAGCCTACATCCTCACTGAGCTTACAATTTAGTATAAAGTATGTACAATAAAGGCAGTTCCACAGTAATATAGTTTGGATATTTTTCCCACTTGAATTTCATGTTGAAATGTAATCCTCAATGTTGGAAGTGGGACCTGGTGGGACATGTTTTGGTCAGGGGAGCAGATTTCTCATGAATGGTTTAGCACCATCTCCTTGGTGTTGTCCTTGCAATAGTGAGTTCTTGTGGAGATCTGGTTTTTTAAAGGCGTGTGGCACCATCCCCCTGTCTCTCTTGCTCCCTCTCACCATGATACGTTGACTCCCCTTCACCTTCTACCATAATTGTAAGTTCCCTGAGGTCCTCACCAGAAGCAGATGTCAGCAGCATGCTTTCTGTACAGCCTGCAGAACCATGAGCCTATTAAGCATTTTTTTCTTATTCATTACTCAGGCTCAGGTATTGTGTAAGAATGGCCTAATGCAACCAGTAAACATTTTTATAAGTACAGGAAGCAGTACACACAACTGGAAAAAAAAATGGTTCAAACATATCTCAACCAAGAATTCACTTAATACATGTATAATATACTCTCTCTCTGGCATTGTTTTCTGTGTTTCCTTTCTCCATTTTAGTGAAGATAAGTTAGATTGTGGAGAAACTATTAACATATTTAACGTCTCTGGGGCAAAGGTGGCATTATTTGTTTAAAGGAGGTGCTTCATGAATAATTTACACAACCTTCTTTCAAACTTTTATAAACAGATTTTTGCATCTTAACATTTTTTGGTAGATGTGAAAAAATTATTCCTTCAATAACAAACACAAAAGGAACCTAAATCGCCACTGCATCAATTAGGAATGCATTTATCTCTTCAACTTGGGTTTACTTTTTTTTCTTTTCATTTCACCATTCTCAGCACCTAGCATGGCTCTTAATCGTTAAGATGTCTATTTCTGTGGAGGCCCACATTTTCATTCAAGGTCGGAAGAGAGAAGGAGAGTAACAAGCTTCTCAGAAGCCTCTGGCAAGTGTTCTCTTACATTACTATGATTTCACTGATATAAAATATGTCATATGACTATCCTACCTGTAAAGAAGTTCACAAAAGGTATTTATTCTACTATTGCTCTTGATTAATAGCTTGGCCGGGTATGGAATTCAAGATTGAAAACCCTTTTCATAAAGAATTTGACAGTGTAGCCCTGTTTGTTTTTTAGTTTCTAGATTTGCCTTAAGACTATGATATTATTCTTATACCTGATCCTTAATAAATGATCTTTTCGTTCTCTCTCAAAATTTTGGAATCTTTTCTTTATTCCTATATTCCAAAATTTCATGATGATGGTCCCTGTGTAAATCATTTTATTGTTGTTGTTCATTATAGTGGAGGCTCAGTGGGCCTTTTAATCTGGATTTCAAGTCTTTAAATTTTAGAATGTTTTGTGATTTATGCTTTTGATCATTTCTTTTCATCTGTCTTCTTTCTTCCCTATGAAACTTCACTTACTAGATATTTGACTTCTGCATCACGTTTCTTTAACTTTGAGCCTTTATGATGAACTATTTTTCTGCTATAATATTTTTTATTTCCTAAGAGCTTCTACTTGCTGTGTTTCTTTTTAAAAAATAAAAAAAACTATTGTTCCTTAATTCAATTTCCAGTATCTCTCTGAGGATACATACATATAACTATATATGCATGTGTATTTGAATAGTATATCATTGACATGGTTTTACATGGTTTCTGTATTTATGTCCATGGAACGTATGTCTGATAAATAGCACATAAATCAAATTATTGTGAATGTTAAAAATGGCTTAAAAATATTATCAAGCATTTCTCATTTAGACAAAGTGAAACCTTCCAGAGCTAACTTAATTGTTTAGCTTAAGAAAAGAAAATATTTTCTTTTCTATCTGTGAAAGAATCTTTGTTCTTTTAGTAAGTTGTGGTTCAAAAAGAGCAATTATAAAAATGGCAAAGCCGTGACCCATCACAATCTCTCCTTTGATGAGACTGCGGTTGATGCTCTATACCAGTGATCCATGGGTTCCCTGATGATTAGACAGGTATGTTTAAACCCTGCAGTGAATCAGTGTGTATTGTTACTGACAGGCTTTAATCTGGAGATATTTAATGATACAGTGCAGCCTCATAGCTCTCTGTAACTCTCTTAAGGGACCCACATCAAAGGGAACATTGTGGTTATGGTAATTTTAAAATGTCTCTTGGTTTGTATCTAACAGATAATAGAACATACCCTGTTCCATTCTATGATTTTTTTAAAAAATTTCTCTTATTTTTATCTTCTAGCACATCTGAATGCTCTGCTTACTTGAAGAACCACTCTTGTATCCACAATATGCTTGATATCTCACACCTGGCTGCTTTCCAAATGGCAGACTGGTTTTAAAACTTTCAGCAAAATTTGGTTAAATGGTCCACTGTGTGTTGATATAATAATAAAGATCTCTATTAGTGGTCATTGTTTATTGCCTTTATTGATACTCTGGATTTTTTTTTTTTAATTTTCCTCTTTCAACATGTAAATCTCCATTCTCAGATAATTTCTTACCACTGCTAAAGTAGTTCCTTATATTATTTTTTCTCCATTTAGATTACAAACTTCTTGATGAATAAGACTTGATTTTTTTTAAAAAAATAAAATTGCTGTATTCCACTAAACAAAAGACCTAATTGATAATTTCTGTTTCCTATTTTGCACAACCTAAAGACTTCTTTTTTTTCTTTGGTACATTTTCCTAAATTTCCAAGGCTCCAATTTTCTAGACAACATAGTGTTCCTTGTATAGCAATGCTGGTCTTCCTCACCATTATATGAGGATATTACCCATCAGAAATGAGAAGGGTTTAGACAGCTGGGGTTTTCAGTGTATGTAAGTGAATGTGTGTATGTGTGTGTATGTCGCTGAGTACACATGTGAGTGTGAATGTGTGTGCATGTATTCTGGTCATAGAGACATAACTAGAGATTCCATTGACCTCTTAGTCACCTGCATGGAATGCAGAGGTAGGAGCCTGCTTCTGAGTAGAGTGATGCCACTCATGGGCTCCTCTACTTCTATATCCTTTGAGGAAGCTTCAGAGAAACCTGAGTTTGAATTTCATCTTTACTGCTTACTGTGTGCTGTAATTATCCATAATAGCGAGATAACATTTTTCCCTTATCATAAGAGTGATGTGAAGCCTAAATGAGGTCATGCATATAAAGTGTTCAGCACAAATGGAACCTTAACAATCTCCCAACACTTAGTTAAAGAAATGATATGCTTTCTCTAGGCGATTTTTCTGGAAATAGAGCAATATTGAGAAAGGTCTTACTTGGACTCTTTTTTGATGGCATTTTCAGAATAGAGCAGGAAATTATCCAACTTGCCAGAGACTGCTAGCTGCAAATCATCCCTTCTTATGGAGAACAGGTAGAAAATGCAGGAGGTGAAATAAAGAACATGTTGAACTAGAGAATGCTGTTTCTTATGCATGTCAAATTTGTTTCCTTCTCTTGCACTAGCTGTTCCTTCCGCTGGAAGACTGTTTACATGCTGGCTCCACTTATTGTTCAGAACTGAGAGTAAATTTGCATTTCTCAGAGAGTGTTCCTGACTATCCAACTCAAAGTACTGTCACTTTATCTAGTTCTTTCCTCGTTTGTTTTACATGTCTGTTTATTTCCCTCCACTAGAACCTAAGTTTTGTGAGAGTTGGCACTTTGTCCAACTGGGTCACTGAATCCCAGTGGGTTACTCACAGATGTATTTAGTACATAGTAGGGGTTCAAAAAATATTTCTTGAGAGGTTGTTTAAATGCACAGATTATATTTTAACAAAGAAAGTGAACAGAAGACAGTTGGTCCCTGATTTATTACCAGTAGTTCACTACTCTCTATGTATGAAGACACCACTTACTGATGGTTATAAAGCAGATGCTCAATAATTTTTTTAAATAAACAGAAGGGCAAGGAGCCAATGTAGTTTATAGTGGAGGGTAGTCACGGACACCGAGAGTATATTTTAGACACAATTTATTAATGGCCAGCCTTAGGCTGAGGCAAAATAGAACAGAGGATGCCAAGGTCCTTCGTGCCCAGACAGTCAGTGCTCACATGTTCCCTGTAACTGCCTGGGTACCTTTCTCTGAGTCACCAGTCCTGTATCTTAATTCTTTTTGTAGCACCTGCATTCTGCTCCTTTATCCTTCCATCAGTCAAATCTTAGATACTGTATGCCTCTTTCTCAAGAAGCCTTGCTCAACGCATGGTGCTTTCAACAGTGATGAATATTTTTCTCTCTGACTTCTCATGAAACCATGATAATAAAACAAATTAGAATGTATTTTAACATCATTCTCCCTTGTTCGCTGTCCAGCTAATGAGCAGTGGGCTGGCTAAAGAAAGACGGGCATGAAGCAGGAAAATACTTTGGTGAAAAATTCAAGAAAGGGCCAATATCCATTAAAAGACTGAAAGAGGAGATTTTTGGGCCCACCTCCACTGGGGACAGAAATTCCATTCTGCTAACACCCCTCCACATCCATTGTCTGAAGGATGTACTGCTGTTGGGTCATAAGTGGGCTCCAGTGGCCCATGTTGACCTTTTGAAATTCCCATGGGACTGCAAATTCTATCTATTTGGGAAGCAGTGAGCCATAGCTAATTACAGGCCTATGGTATTAGTGGAACGTCTTCAGCTTTTTACATTGGCTTGATTGAGAACTGAGAAGATGTAAAAGTATGACATGTTTTTCTGTAATCATAATCAGGTAATCTTTTTCATAATCATTCATACTTCCTAATATTTGTCGAACAGTTAATATGTGTTGAGTACTTTTGTAAGTGCTTAACATGCAGTTTTTTATTTTAACTCATTTTTACAGGAAAGGTTTACAGAAGGCCAGAAGGGATAGGGGATTTTGCCAGAGGTCATTCAGGTAATAGGAAGCCAAGCCAGAAATTTGATCCCAGCTAGTTTGACCCCATAGTTCGAGCATTAATCAATCCCTGAACCACACTAGCTCTGACAAGGATGTAAGTGAGCAGTGATTACTCCCTGACTTAAAACATAATGGGAATTATTCCCAATGAATTCCAACATATAAAATCAAGGGACATTTCTTCTTGCCATAGAAAATCTATTTGATAAGTACCAAAAAGTAGTTCAAAGGTTATCAAAAACAATTTCTAATAGTTTAATTTGTTAAAAGAAATGGCTTATCTTATTAAGCATAGTCTCTAAGGCAAAAGAACTGTACTTTGCCAATGGCCTCAGGAAGGCTATCATGGGTTATATTTCTGGATGGATTTTCCATCTGTTCCCACTAGATGGTGCATGGGTTACACGAACACCCCAAATCTCTTGAGAGGAATTATCCCAAAACAAAACAAAAAAAGAGAGAAATTGAGCAGGGAAAGGTAAATGTGGAATTTGGACTCAGTCGAAGATTGAAACACCCAAAACAGTGACTTGCTAACAAATAAAGCCTGGGTTTCGAGTTCCATCTTTTTTTTTCCTTTCAGAATAAACACTAATAGCTACTTAATCTGAGTTAAAGAAAATTTGAATAATAGTCAAAAGCCATCTAAGAGTTTTTTTTTTTTTTTTTTTCAGAAAATTGTATTACCTATAATTGCAGCCAGGACTGGCACTTGGAAAAAGATATTGAGGAACCAATTCCGATGAGCCAAATAAGTGCTTCCTTTAATTTTAATATGTGTTTTTCTGGAACCAACCAGAATCTGCAAATTTTTATTTCTTCCTAATTTTCCTCAATTGGTTTGTAATAAAAATTGTCACAAATAGCCAGTTACCACTTTCTAATAATCATATGACAAATTATTATGATATTTTAAAATTCCAGATAGTGTAATAAATGGGACCAGAAAATTCTGGGAAATCCCATGAGAATAAATTTGAAAACCAGTAGTCACTAATTCTATTTGAACTTTCATGTCTTCTTCTACAAAATGAAACAGTAGCTCACCAAAACTCTTTTCAGACTTCTTTATTACCTCTAAAGAAAAAGAGAACATTCTGGCTGCTTATACCCAGAAACAGACACATGCACAGATGCACTCCCCTGTTTGAGTCAGAGAGTTATGTTCTATTTCCAGAATCAGGAGTATGTGGAAACGTTATTATGTTTGCTGAAAGGGTATGAAAAAAAAAACCTCACTTACGTAGAAGGATGAAGTGGTAATTGGAACTAGGTGCTGCACAAGACAGTATTACCATTCACTGTATTTTTCTCAAGTCATGTAGATTCTACTTTGAGGCAAAAATTGTTGATGTGATTATAGGTACTACTTTAGATTAATTTATTTTCACCATATGAGAAGTTCTTTTCATTTTTTCCTCAGGTCTATCTATTTGATAACTGTTAGCTGTTAAACATTAAAAATACCCAGTTGCCATTTTTATTTTGGACTAGATCCAGATTTTAAAAATCAGGGTTTAGAGTAAAAACAAATTGGATATGACCCAATGAACAAACACACAGGTAAAATAAATAATGTCCACAAAACAGTTCTATTATCACGATGCTTATTTCCACACTTAGATGAAAAATGTTGACCTAACACCCCTTCCATTTGTAGTGGTAATGAAGCCAGAGTACCTGGTTGGCTCACTTCTTCCCTGTGCTGACTTCTCATCCCTGAGTTTACTTCTCTTGTATTTCCTTTAATGATTCGGTACCACCTTTCTTTATGGAGAAGAGGGTTGAGAGAGTGACACTGAGCTGAAAGTGGGTGCCAATGCTGCATAGCTGAAAAGCAGCACCACTGTGAGAAGGGTGCTTTCTTCCGCTTTGAGAGGGTATTAAAGTGTAGGATCCTGTCTGAAGCTAAAGTGCAAAGCCTAATTTGTTTTCATGATGATTGCTTTTGCTCTACTGAACTTCATAGGCAATTGTCGCGTTGACCATTTTATGGCCATTCACTATTCTAATTAAGAGGCAACTGCCAAAGTATGGAGACATTCAGCGGGTATCTAGGGTGCTTTTAAAAACTAAACATCCTTCTAAGCAATATAGAATAAGACAGGATGGAAAACATACCGGGTGAGTAGAAAAAGGGTAGGAGATCAAAGAGCCATCTGTGTTTCTCCTCTCTGACATCTTCTGATGCTTATTTATAGTCACCCCACTTTTGCATTCAGTATTTCTAAAGACTGAGTAGAGCCATCTCCCACTTAATTAATCATCAACCTCATCTCACTCCATTCATAAATGGGTCAATAAATGCACCAACCCTGAGTTGTGCTGGATAATCTATAATTTAATCCTGGTGTGGTGGCTCAAACCTGTAATCCCAGCACTTTGGGATGCTGAGATGGGTAGATCACGAGGTCAGGAGTTCGAGATCAGCCTGACCAACATAGTGAAACCTCATCTCTACTAAAAATACAAAAATTAGGTGGGCATGGTGATGTGTGCCTGTAATCCCAGCT